CTCTTGCTGAGGGTTCCTTACTACACTTCTACTTCTATCGAAAGTACACCAAAACCCTTTTAGAATCTTCGAGGTCCCTACTTCTGGAACCCTTACGTACCCTAAGGCTCAAAATAGCCCAAAAGCCTTGTATGGTACGGTCTTTGGGCGCAAAAGCCTTAAAATATGAGTCCGTAGAGCCTAATGGTTATAGAAATGCCTATAGAACCCCAATAGAGGAAGCTTAAAGGGAGTCCTGTTCGACTTCGAACCCCCCCCGGAAGAGATCCGCAGCCGTGCGTGCGCACCCAGAGACTCCGATATCCCTTGATTAAGGAATATAACATAACTTAAATCATATAAGGGATCCTACTATAATTTACGGTATATTCCTTCATCAAGGGCTATTGGAGTCTCTGGGCAGGCCAAACTGAAGCTCGGAGTTGCCGTGGAGTCGACGGAAATCGCCGTCTGAGCTGAGAGTTCGCGTCTGTGCCATCGAAGCCTGGAGTACTTCGGAAGTAGAGGGAACCAGAGCTCATAGCAAGTAAGGTTGTGATTAGAGAACTTACTACACATATCGCATAGATGTGGCCGATATTACGTTACTTCTATCCATACTTGCCGAGGCCCCTGATCTTTCAGTGTTAAGTAGACCCTACAAGCACGAAAGCTCCATGTTCCAGAGCCTGGGTATTTTAACATCGGCCCCGAAGTGGTGACACGAAATCACTAAGACCTAGCGGTTGAAGTTTGTGGGGCCCAGAAACCCTGAACTCTTGGCGTGAAGAAGGGTGTAGGGTTTTGGCGGCTAGACCCTTAATACTGAACCCCAAAATCCCAAACCCTAAACCCTAAGCCTCATAATGCTAATCCACAAACCAAGCGCTACTTCGAGGGAGCTCCGGCTATCGAGGCACGCGAATTGCGAAGATGAATACTTCAATTTCGAGCTCGTGCTCGGTTCGTTTGACATTCCCCTTGGGGGAGGAGCGACGAGGGTTTATGGCTGAGTAAGTTAAGGGTTCACGGCCTCTTTGGTCATTTTTATGAAAAGCCCGAGCTGTTGCTGAGTTCCTGCATAGTTAAGCGAAGTCAAAGAGAGCTTAGCAGGCTTAGGGCTTCGGGTTTTAGGGTTTAGGGTTTAGGATTTAGGGTTTAGGGTTTAGGTTTTGGGATGTTAAAAGTCCTTCTATGCATATACAAGATGGTTTTGCCTTCGGGATTAGCATGGCGGTTGTAGCTAACCCACCTAACCTCCAATCCAGATCAAACTCTAAGTTCTAGTGCGAGTATGGCCTGATTATAATATAAGGGTCTAGACAGTGCGTAAGACTATCCCCGTGTAGTCCCCATATCATATGCGTGTACTATTTAGTATACTCAAGTTATCAAGGAGTCGATATTACCCTCCTCCCCCCTCGATTCTCGTGGAGAGCAGGTCCGGCCAAAAGCCTGCACTGTTTGGGTGCTGTGCCAGCCGGCGCTCTCCGCAGACAGTGCCTGGAGGGAAAGAGATTGCGGAGCCATTTTGGTGTTATATGGGTAGTTGTCAAAATTGTAGCCCCTTTTTGGGCACCCTAAATACTAGGTGCCGTACTATCATAGGGACCCAAAAAGGCACCCTAATTTTGACAACCACCCATATAGAAGTGTAGCTCTAACTCACTCACCAGACCCAGGCTCGAGGGCCTCAAGTTTTAGATTTCAGGGTTTTCGGATTCAGGGTTAGAAATACATGAGTGGTTTTGATTTTTGGGTCCCTATTATAATACGGCACCTATTATTTAAGGTACCCAAAAAGGGACCATAATTTTGACAACCACCCACATCAAGGAAGCCATGAAGCGTAACCATTGTACATGTACTTCCACTACATGTTCAGACCTGTTCATTCGGACTGGGAGTTAGGTCCACCAGGAATACCCTTACACCCTGTGTGTTTGTTGGTTACTTCACTACAACTGGACACTAGCCAGAGAAACGGTGCCCTTATCTCTGGGCTGTAAAGCCCTGTAACAGCTTTCCCTTCTCAGACGATAGCGCCCTTGGCAAGCACTGTAGGGGCCTTCATAGTCGGGGTTCCTTATCATAGTTATAGTAGAACGGGCCTCAAAGCCCTACTCTACTTATTAAGGCCCCTGAATTACATGCACCCAGTAGCCCCACCCCCATCATCCGAGTGTAAAGACCCGGCAGCAGAGGGACGAGGATTCAATAGTCGGCTTTCGGTTGAATTCTCCTGAACCCGAAGACTGCTGAAGCCTTGACGCTTTAGGGCTTGGGGTTTAGGGTTAGGGGGTTTAAGGTAACACCTATAACCTTAGCCTAAACCCTTCACCCCAAGCCCTCGTTGACCAAACCCTTCAATCCAACATCGAGCAGGATCGTCTTGCGACCTGCAAAGAGTCCTTCGCGGTTTACGAGGGTGACCTTGCCGTCGGCCCCAGCTAGCAAGTTCAGGATATTCTCTTTTCAAAAACATTCTTTAATGTCTGGGTGAGTATTTGTTTGCCTATCCATCTGGTTTCTTAATCTAACTTGCCTACATGACATTTGTGTGTCCCTAAGGATATACACATGTATATACACACATCTGTGATCATATGTATATTTGTATATATATATATATTCCTCCTGCAGACATGCAGAAAGATGAAAACCAAGATATTTCCCCTGCTTGCCGTGGCTCCGAATTGCTTCTTTTGGGGTTGTTGCAAGAAAGCTATGCCGGTGTTGTCAGAGCTTTGAAAGGCAATGAGGCTGGGCTGCACGGGGGTGCTGCAACGTTGCTCTCATAAGCCCAAACAAATCAAGACACCATGTCCCCAGCCGAAAAGACCTCGTTGCTTAACGAGGCTCTATGGATGTTTTCAAAACCCCCACACCTTCACCTCTCAAACCCTCACTTGTCACGCGAACACACAGCCTCCGACTGTCTAGCCATCACAAGTTTCAGATGTACGGCCCTCGCATTGACCTCAGGTTTTGGGAACGTGCAGGTTTGATTGGAAGGGCTTAAGGGTTTTTAGGGTTTCAGGTTTTACAAGATTGTATGGGTTTATGGGGTTTTAGGGGATGCTTTAGGGCTCTCGGGCATTTAATTGTGTGCTTTAGAAGGTTTTACAGCGTTTGTAGCGTTTTGGGACTCTATGTCATCATAGGGTGTTTATGAGGTTTTTGTGGGTATTTAGGGTTCCAGGGCATCATAGGATGTTTAAAAGCCCTTGCAGGGTTTTAAATTTAGGGCTTGACGTGAGAGTGTCCAACGTGTCCAACCACCTTGCGCAGCCGCTCCATCTCGCTGTCACTGTCCCTGATGTAGAAGCCTAATAATGACCTACATTATTCCTTTAGGTTCCGTATTATAATGCTAGTATAGGGGCATAAATAAGTACATATAGCATTTTGGGGGGTTCTTCATTATAGTTATAGTATAAAGGGGCCCCAAACCCTATTCTTATTATTAAGCCTTCTGTATTATGCTGGTTCTCTTGGGCAGGACTAGTCACCGTCGTCGTTGTGGTTGCCGTCGTAGCCGTTCATGGCAGGCCGTGTGCGTGCGACAAGAACAACATAGGGGCTTTTGAGTAGCTCATCCTGGCCGCCGCAACCACCCCCCAACCGAGCATCGTTTGGCTACCCTAAACCCTAAACACCCTACACCCTAAACCCTAAACCCTAACCGAGCATCTTTTGGCTACCCTAAACCCTAAACCCTTTCAGTTCTCAAAGCCTCACCTTCGGAGATACAGCGCGAGGCTTGTCGGATGTTCCGGTCTTAGAGAATCGAAGAAGACGTTTAGGGTTTAAGAAGCGAAGGTCACGCTGTTGAACATCTACCGGCAGTATGAGACATACCGCCGCCCGACCCGGTGCGTTTAGTCGATGTTCGGGTCTGGGGTTCGGGTTTCAGGGCTTAGGATTTAAAGTTTCGGGTTCAGGGGTTGTGAGGGATTTGAGCTGCGAGGCATCCTTAGCTCAAGCTTGCAGATCTGGAATTCGTTTTTGTCGCAGGTTTGAGCTCTAAGTCGAGAGCCTGAACTAAGCCCACAGCCCTGAACCCTGCACCCTGCACTCGAAGCGCTACATCCTGATTCCTTATCCTAACCTCAACTTCAAGAATCCCGAAACCCAGAAGATTAAAACCCGAAAGCCCAAACCACAATCCTTGCATCCGTGAGCTCTTACTCGTTTTACTCAAGCCGCCCCAAATCCTCAATGGCCCTCTGGGCCCGACACGCGGAACTTTGTGGGAGGATTTAGCATAGGTCTGCAGCTTTCGTTTGGGGTTTGCCAGGATTGGGTTCCGTGGCTCAGAGCCCAAGATTTGCCGTTTCTAGCCCAGGGCTTCGACCCTCCGAGATCTAGCTACTACAGAAGCCTAGACAATTAGAGGGCAATTCCTGAGCGTGTCTTCTTATCATTCTCCCAATGACAGTCTGACATACCCCCCAGTGTCAGTAAGACACAACAAGCCCTTCTTTTTTCATAAGTAGGGTCCCGATCCCATCCGAAAGCTGCTCGCCGCCGACATCTCCGGTCCAAAGACGAGTTGAAATAGAGCTTCGGTTTTCGGGGCCTCTGAGGGAGCGGTATTTTGGGCATGCTGAGCTTGTTAGGACAAGACTACAGCTTTCCACAAAGCAAGACCGTGGTTCTAGATCTGGTGTCGTCAAGCTATCAGGGTTTTTTTGGCACCGAAAAGGAACGACCGACAGAAGTGAGATGGCTTTTCTCCTCGGGTCCATCAAGCCTGACACAAGCAGTCTTTGTCGCGGCCGAAGCCCAGCTCCGCAATGCCCTAAAGCCCAAAAGCGCGAAATCATAGAGCTTCGGCTGTCCCTGAAAGAAAGGGTCCCTGTTTCGTACCTATACTTAGGGTTAGGGGTTTAGGGTTTAGGGTTTAGGGTTTAGGGCAACCTATACTACAAGCTATCGACTATTCCTCAATCGCGGGGTCATTGAACCTCTTCGGGGGAGTTCTTTTTGAGCGGAGCTCAAGCCCGGGACGTTGCCCAATGGCAGCGACCGGCTCCAATGCCAAGGGCCTCGCCAACATCAGGCCAAATGCCGTTTAGACAACCTACTTAAAACCCTTAGAACCGTAATAACGACAAGTTTTTCACTTCCCCTTGGAGTTTTGTAATCATGTTCCCCCCCACAGTGGTGCAATTAGAGTTTGTTTAGGATTGCTGGGTAGGTAGCATTAACCGTTTTGCGTGAAGGCAGCCCTACCTGAATAATTAGTAATGGTATCTCCTTGAAATCCTTGTACAACCATGTAGCACAGTCTATCCCAAACCCCACTCAAACTACGAAGGCCCCAACTATTTACTGCAAAGCCCCTTGAGTTCCTCATGAGCCAAGTGAGGGTTTTGGGTTTAGGGTTCAGGCTCAATTCTGAACCCGCGCCCTAGACCCAGCAACAAGCTCTAAATGCACAGTAAAGGCCACCAATCGTCATTCCTGAGCCTTGAACACACAGGGTTGCAGGGTGTAGTTTCCGGCCTGAAGAAGATCCTTCAGCACCTTGAGCCCTCAGCTGAATCAGTTTTTTCTTTTTTAATGGTCTGATGTTTCCATGGCTGCCTTTTTGGGTTCGTTCATACCGACATTCAAGAAATTCGAGATCAGGGCCGGTTTCGTGTGGCGATTGGGGTTAGGGTAACTTACCTTTGGTTAGGGTAAAAGCCAGAAAGTTGGAATATGATTATCCTAACCCTTCTATGGTAAATTATAGGGTATCCTACCATGAAACCATATTCCAACTTTCTGGAGTTCCCTGTAGTCGGGAATGGAAGAATGGTAGTAATAGTAGTTATAATTGTACCCCACTCCTCCACTCCCTACTAACCAAAGGTAAGTAGGGTAGGGGTCCAGTGCTTAGGCGTTTCGTCGGATGGGGGTTAGGGTGTAGGGTTTAGGGATTAGGGTTTAGGGCTTAAGGGGTTAGGTTTCAGGGTAAAGGAGTTGTGGATATGATGATGTCTGAGCAGGAACATGAATTCGCAGAGTCCTGTGTCCGCCATGGCCTTGCAACCCCTGAACCAAAGATCCTGAACCTTGAACCTTAAGAAGCATGAAACCCGAAGCCCCACCCACCCCGCCCCGCCCGAACCCGAAGTCCTAAACCCTAGACCCAGAGACTCCAAGATCCCTTAATTAAGGAATATTCCGTAAATCATATAAGGGATCCTACTATAATAAAAGGTATATTCCTTAATTAAGGGATCTTGGAGTCTCTGGGTCATGCTGCTCTCGAGCTCGACGAAGGGTTGGCCTTCCCAGAGACTACAGGATCCCTTAATTAAGGGATAGACCTAGGGTTCCTTTAAGGGATCTATAAGGGATCTATAGGGCTTAGGGGAGTCTAATATCCCTTAACTAAGGAATATACCTTAAATTATGTAAGGGATCCCTTATATGATTTAAGGTATATTCCTCAATTAAGGGATCTTGGAGTCTCTGGGAACTTCCGTGATCTTGCAGTTCATCTTACCTTTGGTTAGTAGGGAATGGAAGAATGGCAGTAATAGTAGTTGTTATTTTACCCAGTTCCTCCATTCCCTACTAACCAAAGGTAAGTCATGCAGGAAGCCGAGGCTGCAGCCGAGACGCTGGGCGAGGAGGTCTCCGAAGTCCGGGCAGCTCCGAGTTTCGCACCCTTCGCCGAAGGAGACGGAGCAAGAACTCAGGGGCGAGTGCCTTCCTCGCGCTCCGACCGGGGGCCCTTAGCCCTTCGGGGCTGGGGTTTGGTACTTTGGGGCTGCTTCGCAGAGGTCAGGGGTTTCGATGTTCAAGCAGACTACTGTTGATGATATAAACCCTGCATGACCCATAATAAGGAAGATACCATAATTTCCATATATTCCTTATTCTGAGTCATGCAGGATTTATATCATCAACCGTAGCACTCATCGAGTGCTTATAGCAACGCGCAGTTGATGTTTTCGGGTCCGAACGTCCCACCTCCAAGACCCAAACACTAAACCCTAAAACGCGAACCCTAAGCCCGAAACCATAAATCCTAAACCCCAAAACCCGAAACCATAAACCTCAAGCCTTAAACCCCAAAAACGTGAACCCTAAGCCTGAACCATAAACCCTAAACCTTCAACCCTAAACCCTAACCCCCCCCCCCCACCTCTCCAAAAAAAGCCTTAAACCCTAGACCTTAAACCGTAAACCCAAAACCATAAACCTTAAACCCTAACACCCCCCTCCACCAGAAAAATCCCAAACCGTAAACCCGAAACCATAAGCCTTAAGAGCCCTAAACCCTAAACCCCTAAACCCTTTAACCTTAAGCCCCAAAACCTAAACCTTTCCCACCTCTCCAAAAAAACCCTACATCCCCCCCCCCCTTCTCAACAAAAAACCCTAATCCCCAAGCCCTAAACCCCAACCCCCCCCCGCCTTCTCAAAAAAAAGCCCTAACACCGCAGGCACGACAAGCCCGAAGTGCCCGGTGAAGGCGAAGACGCACCTCCCAAGGTCTCGTCTTGCGTAACTGGGACCGCAGCTTCCGGGGTCAGGGGTTTGGGGTTTCCAGGGCTTTTAGGCTTTTTAGGGCTTTTTAATGAGGGTTGAGGGTTTAGGGTTTAGGGTTGAGGTTTTGGCGCAGTTTTCCGTGGTGTAGAAAAGACGGCGAGCGCACACACCTGCTGATTTTGTTTGCTTCAGGGTCCTCTAGCATGCTGTAGCACTGCTCCGTGTCGCGCGCGTGGATGCATGGATGTATGTTATATGGACGTATGTATGGATGTATGGAAGTATGTGTGTCTATATAGTAGGCATGCATGTTCTCTAGAGGCCTGATGAATAATTATCTATACTGCTGTGGGGTTCCTTATTAATTGTACTTATAGTATTTTGAGGGCCGCAAAACCCGATGCGAATTATGAAGGCGACCATGCTACACGTTCCGATGTCTGTAAGTCTGTGTGTCAGGCAGGCAGGCTGACGGACGGACAAACGGATAAAGACGTCGACAGAGACAGACCGAGAGACAGAAATATATATATATATACATACATACGTAGATTGTTAGACAGATAGCTGGACAGATAGATCGACAGAAAGGTAGACAGCTAGACGGATAGACAAATGGACAGACGGACAGATAGACGAATAGACACATAGACAGACACATAGACAGACAGATAGGTAGGTAGGTAGATAGATAAATGGCTGCATATGCAGCTAGGCTTTAAAGGGAGGTCGGCGGGTAGGTAGAGAGACAGAGAGATAAATAAATATATAAATAAATATAAACAAATATAAATATAAATATAGATATAAATATAGATATAGATATAAATATAAATATAAATATAAATATAGATATGAATATATATATATATATATATATATATATATATATATATATATATATATATATATCATATCATATACACATACATATACACACACACAAATACATACACATGAATGTATTCATGTGAAGAGAGAAAGAGAGAGTGAGAGAGAGAGAGAGAGAGAGACAGAGACAGAGAGACAGAGAGACAGAGAGACAGAGAGACAGAGAGACAGAGAGACAGAGAGACAGAGAGACAGAGAGACAGAGAGACAGAGTGACAGAGTGACAGAGTGACAGAGTGACAGAGTGACAGAGAGAGAGGAGAGAGAGCGAGAGAGCGAGAGTGAGAGCGAGAGCGAGAGATAGGGAGAGGTTAGCCAGTGCACATCAAAACCCTCAACCTTAAACCATAGTTCGATATGTGCTGATGCTCGAGGACATCAAGCGGGTGTCTACCGGCTCAGCGCCGCGTGGCTGGCAACCCGAAAATCCCGTCGAGGTTCAGAGGTGTGGGAGGGTTCCCAGGATAACTGCGAGAGGTGTTAAGGGTTCCAATATAGGGGCCGAAATCGTTTGAACAGGGTTCTTCGGTATAGTACAGTAAAGCATAGTATAGTATAGTGGTAATGCATGAAGGAATTCGAAGGAACAATACCACTGAAGGCCCTAAATTACATCTTTTGGGGCCGCAAGATTTTGGCCCTCGTGTTTCAGCTTTATTGTTTGGGGCTGTGGGGCTGTCGGGTTTCGGGGTTTCGGGTTTCGAGCCCGGAGCTGAGGATTACCGACCCCCCTCCTGGAAATATGATTTTGGGGGGTTCCCTTAAAGGGAACTCCAGAAAGTTGGAATATGGTTTCAGGGTAGGATGCCTTATAATTTACCATAGAAGGGTTAGGATAATAATATTCCAACTTTCTGGCTTTTACTTTACTAGGATTGTAGTCTTAGTGGATACACTTCACACTTTTTGGGAGAATATTACCCACTATAAAGCTGAAAGTGTACACTTTTTGGGGCTTATGAACTCAGCAACAAAGTAGTATACCGGGCCCCAAAACCCTATTCTAGTTATTCAGGCCCCTATATTTATCCTAACCCTGTGTGCACAGAAGCTGAATAGTTGGTCGGAACACTGAGGAGGAGTATTTCGTTGCAGTCTCTAGGTACGTGTAGTATTTTATTACCTCCAAACACCCTTATTTCAAGTACAAGTCCCAAAGTCAGGCTTTTGTTATGGGATTGACGCTGAAGCCTAGCAGCTACGAGTGCCTTTGAGACAAGTCTCCAACATCGTGGGACAGCGCCCCTTCCAAACCGCAGCACTTGGAATCTTCTCAAAACAACAAAAGCACCCTCCAAACCTTGAGCCCGGAACCACTCCTTGAACAACTCCATAGCCCGAACACCTACCTTTCAAGCCCCGCGATGCTGAATGGTCAGAGTTCGAGGAAATCTGCTGGAGCCTCCGCTGTCGTTGGCGTTACGGTGTCTCGGTGAGCAACCTTACCGGCCGGTGTCAACTCTTGAAAACCTGAGGCCCAGGGTTTCATCGATAAAGAAGCGCATCGGAATTGCTCATTGCTAGGCTTTTCAGGTTTTGGGCGCAGGCTTTGTCGATTTTCGGGCGTCCCTACGCCCTGCTTTCCAGGAGTCCGAATCATTCCTACACATTAGGCCGTAATATAAACCCTAAACCCGCAACCCCAAACCCTAAACCCTAAAACCTACTGTAAACACTAAACCGTTTCCTAAACCCGCGCAGAGCACTAGCAAAAAAAACCCGAACGCTCTCAGAGCCGACTCCTCCCTCCTCTTCAAATTTGAGGTCTTCTGGCTCTTTAGGGACTTTAGGGTTTGGGATTCAGGGTTGAGTCTTCAGGGTTCCGGGTATAGCTAGAGCTTGGTCTTGTGGGTGCAGGTTTTAAGGTCGTCCTAAGGGTGTTTATAGCAAAGCTAGTGTTTTGCTTGAGAAGAGCAAGTCGTAAGATTTTGCCGAAGGCTCTCGACCCCCCCAAAACCCCAAGCCCCAAACACTAAACCTTAAACCCCCAACCCTACTACACTCTCTCAAACCCAAGACCCTAAAACCGAAAACCGGACGCACCACAAGTCGCAAGTTTAGGGTTTGGGGATGTTTTGGGGTATTGGGTTTAAAGTAGGGTTTCAGGGCCCCGCACATCCCTAAGACTTTGTTTCGGCGCGCCCCATCGCAACGTCCACAACCACGGCCCTTGTACTCGAAACCCCCACATCGCCCTCCAGCCTCGATCCCGAAATCGATCGGGGGTCGTACGGTTGATGATATAAATCCTGCATTACCCATAACAAGGAGTATATGGGATATTCCTTATTATGGGTCACGCAGGATTTATATCATCAACCGTAGAAAGTTTGGTTATGAGTACTTGATTTAAGGTATAAAGCTCTGAGAAATGATGACTGTAGTTACCCACCCTAAGTCTAACCTTACTGTACTTACTACATCCCTTGATCCTCACAGTGACCTCAAGATCTCAATAAAGGCCACGTTTCAGTCCCTGATCAATGGCCTGGTTCAGCAACACTTGGCCGCTTGGATCGTGAAGTGCTACGAACCCAAAGCCCTAAGCCCAAAACCCTAAACACCCTGAACCCTGAGCCCTAAGCCCGAAGCGCTAAGCCCAATAACTTCGACCCCTAAAGAGGTTCCGAAAGATGGGAAGAAGCCTTGAACCCTAAACCCTATAATTCTATAATTGGGTGGTTGTCAAAATTATGGTCCCTTTTCGGGTACTCTAAATATTAGGTGCCGCATTATAATATGGACCCAAAAGACACCATAATTTTGACAACCACCCAATTGTAGGATACCTTTGGGGGGCTCCAGGTTTTGGATCGTTGAAGGGTTTGGGCTTGGGTAGGGTTTATGGTTTTAGGTTTCAGGGTGTAGGGTTTACAGTTATGGGTCAGGGTTTAGAGTAATCGCACACCCTGACAAGCCTGACACAAAGCAGGCCAATATAGGGGACTCAATAATTACCAACATTAGTTTGGGGTTCCTTATTATATTTGTAGTATACTCGGCCCCAAAACCTTATTCTGGTTAGTAAGGTCTCTATATCAAAGCCTAATGCCCCTCAACCCTCAAAACCCCGGCACTAACTCAAACAACGTCAAAGGCTTGAGTTTAAGATCCTTGCGCCCTGATTAGCATGAAGACACCGTGTTGGGGGAACTACGGTTTACACAAATTTAGGGGTGGCGTAGCGTCTGCGAGGGCTGTCGCACAGGTGAAACTTTTTGGGATCCCAGTTTCAAGTTTTAGCAAGTTGCAGTGTTTAGGGATTAGGGTTTCAGGTTTAGGGTACTAGGTGCCCCATTAATATGCCCGTCGGTCCTGGCTATCGTGAGGTCTTCTTAAAGCCGACTCATCGGCAAAAGAGCAACCTAGGGGTCCGGATAACGTGCAATACTGTCTCGCATAGTCTTTGTCCAGTTCTACTTCAATTAAACCCCTAAACCCCGAACCCCTAAACCCTGAACCCCAAACCCTTGATTGAAGAGACAAAACCCTAAACCCCAACTCAATTACTAGGACCGTCACATTACGCCTTTCTTTTGAAGGGATTGTTGGGGAACCGAGTTGGGGGCTAGGGCTTTAAGGTGGAGTGTAGGGTTGAAGCTTTCGTTGTTCGAAAGTTGGTGGTTTAGGTTGCAAGTTTCGGGGTGTGTTCGGGGTTTGGGCGTGGAAGGGTTTCGGATTTCAGTTTGAGGTGTAGAGTTTAAGCTTGCAATTTCGGCCAGCTGTCCCAACATGTCGTGCAGGATCTAAACACTGAATTCGCAAAGCCATGAAGCCTGAGTTTCCGGACCGCCCACCGTGAACTCCTACATAACCCCTTACTTTAATTCCCAAACCCTAAACCCTCAACGCCACCGAGCCCAATTCCAAAACCTGAAGCCCAATGCCTAACCCCAAAACATACAGCCGTGAAGATCTACATGTACCCCCACGCTGAGGTCGAGTTAGCTGCGGCGCAAGGAGCGAGCGGCGAAGACTCCATCGGCGTTGCTCTTCCACGGCAGTGGTCGCAGGCGGCAAGGGCTCGGTATTGCAAGCAGTGGGATTTGGGGTTTCAGGGCTTTAGAGGGTTTGGCATTCAGGGTTTACGGTTTTGGGCTTTGGACCTATCCGCATGGATCGGATTAGATAGTAAGACTGTTCTGTTCTTTAATTATAATTATTCCTGATAACTCGTTGTCATGCCTTGTTACAGATAGATATAGTATACTGTACCTAGGACCTATTCTGGTCATTTCCTACACCCTGCAGCCCGCACTTTAGCCTTTGCATCGCCCTTGCACAGGGGTGATCTTTTGGTGTCGGGTTGGTTTCAGCGCTCTTCTTCTCATGATCTCAGGGATAGGTTAAAGAATTGGGGTCTAGGGCTTAACAGTTTACGAGTATGGTTTAAGGGTTGAGGGTCTAGGGTGGATTCCATGTCTGCAAGGTCGTGCTCGTCATTGCTGATACTAATACTTATTTGGGAGCTTACCTTGGCATAGAGCCCTGAGTAGTCGGATCCTCATGAAAAGGATCTCTACGACAAGATTCCTTTTTTTGTGAAGCCCCCATATAGTAGCAATTCCGGTCCTGATGCTGAGATTCTGAAAATAAGACCCTAAACGTAACCAGGAACTTCTTCTTCACTTTGCTGCGTAGAGGTCTAGTCCTGTGCAAGTAAGATGGCGGTCCCAAAAGCAACCGAAGTTGCGGACCTGGAAAAGCGGGAACTTACAGCCCTCGACATGCAAGGTGAAACCAAAGGCGCCCCGAGCTCGACCCCAACAAAAGAGGGGAGCTCAGGAAAGCGCAGCAGCAACCGCTAATTCCGACACCAGCGGTCGCCCCTGACAGCACTAGGCAAAGACCGGCAACACCGCTGACTGGAAAAGAGCACAGTGCTGCAAAGCAACCTGACACGGGCAGCACATACCCGCAAAAGTCAGGGTCTGTCCAACAACAGCAAAAGTCCTGAGTGCCTGACCCCAATCAAGGCATTCAGAGGAAAAGGCAGCAAACGGCAAGAACAAGTCACGACGGGGCCCTCTCACCAAGGTGGTAGACAGCGTCGTGCTGGGCGCCCTGGCCGCGGTGCCCGTTGTCACCTGCAGCGTACTGGTCACCGTGCTGGCGGCAGTGGTCGTTGTCGTCAAGGTAGACAGTGTCGAACTAGTCCCCGTGCGAGTGGCAGTGGTCGTGGTCACCAGCGCGGTAGACAGTGTCGTACGGGTCACCGTGCTGGCGGCAGTGGCTGTGGTCACCGTCGCAGTCATAGTAGACTGCGTCGTGCCGGTCACCGTGCTGCTGGCACGGGCCACCGCACTGGTGGCAGTAGCCGTAGTAGACAGCGTCGTAGTATCCATGCTAAAGCAGTGGCCTTGGTCACCGTGTTAGTAGATGGCGTCGTGCTGGTCACCGTGCCCGTGGCAGTCGTGGCCGACTGCGTCGTACTGTTCATGTGAACAGCAGAAGCCGCACAGACAATGCATGCGGAAGATCAGAGCCCGCAACCCGGAATCGAGCTTGCGGCAGCAGAACCCATCCCACTCGGTAGGCGGTGACCTCAAAGGGAGCATGACGGAATGGATACGACGAATGGCCAGCTCGAAATAACCAGCCAGTGCAATACGCAATGCCAACGATGACGATTGCGAATGCGATGAGCTCAGTCGCGCGGCAACAAAAGCTCGAGATAGAGGCCACCGGGGACCAGCTATGGCGCTACAGAAACAGGAGAATGTAGCTGGGGTCGGGAAGCGGCTAAGACCAGGGCAAATTGGGAAAAGACACCCTGGTCAATAGCCTCGAGCCGCGACGCCTGTAACCAGGAACCCCGAAATCCCAAAACCCTGAACCTTAGAACCCAAACCCTAAATAATCCGAAGCATAGGACGAACTCGGGGTCTTAACGGCCACAGAAGCAGCAGGGTTTCGGGGATTTCGGGATACGGGTTTTCCGGGTGTAGTGTCTTAGGGTCAAAGGTTTTCGGGTTTTGAGGAGTGGGGCTGGCATTGAGGCACGTAGGAGTGAAATCTCGGATTGCTCTCCGGATCATGCCTGAATAAACCCTGCGCGAAGTCTTGAACATGGCTCTGTCTCCTATCCATGGTGTCTTCAATCCATAGTTTCACCTCGGGCTCTTGTACACCCTGAAACCCTCACCCTAACCTCCCCTAAACCAGAAGTCCAAACCCTGAACCCTAGACCCTGAGAGCCCTGAACCCTAAACCTTAAGCCCTAAACCCCAAACGTTAAACCCTCAACCCTAAACCCTGAACCCTAAACCTTCAACCCTAAACCTTCAACCCTAAACCCTAAACCTTCAACCCTAAACCCTACACCTTCAACCCTAAACCCCGAACCCTAACGGCGCCCCGACGAAGGGCTTCCGGTCGGCCTCCCGCAAGATGACCGAGCCGAAGGCAGGGTCAACTTTGTTGGAGCATGCTGGGCTGACCCTGGTATGGGCCGCGAGTAGTAGTAGCAGTAGTAGTAGTAGTAGAAGTAGTAGCAGCAGCAGCAGCAGCGGCAGGAGGAGGAGGAGTAGTAGTAGTAGTAGTAGGAGTAGTAGTAGTAATAGCCTTGGGCCTTGTGTCTGGTGATTCGGGGCCAGGGCTTTAGGGGGTTTAGGGGGTTAGGGGGTTTTGGGGGTTTAGGGGGTTTAAGGGGTTTAGGGGTTTAGGGTTTTGGGGGTTTACCGGGTTTAGGGGGTTAGGCGGTTTAGGGGTTCCGGGGTTTAGGGTTTCGGGGTTTAGGGGTTTGGGGCAAAACCCTAAACCCCAAACCCCCAAACCCTAAGCCCGAAACCCTGGACCAGGGTTCCGGGGTTTGGGGTTCAGGGCTTCGGGGCACCCAGAGCCTCCAAAACCCCTTAATTAAGGAATATACCTTAAAGTATAGTAGGGTCCATAATATGATTTAAGGTATATTCCTTAATTAAGGGATATTGGGGTTCAGGGCTTCGGGGCACCCGCCGCCAGGCGCAGCAAGTCGAGGGGAAGGCCCGGCTGGGCACGGGGAAGTTCCGGCCAAAACCCGAATCGACGCCACGGTTTAGAATTTAGGGTGAGCTTGAGGAGGTTTATGGATTCCTTGAAGGGCTCCTCGAAGGGCAGGTTGGGGCCTTTTGGGTGGGGTTTACAGGTGAGCTGTGCAGCTCTTGTACTCACACCGACCCACACCCTGAAGCCTAAACTCGCGAGCCAAAAAGCTCCAAATTTTCATAGCATGGCCATAAAAGCCTAAAGCCCCACAGGCTGGGTCCCCCACCCCTCTCCCTCCCCCGAGCTGCAAGTGTCGAGCATTGACAAAGCAAATCCCGAAGCTCGAGTTTAGGGTTTTGTGTTGGGGTGTTTCGCTTTGGTTTTCTTAGTGTTTATGCCGGGATGTAGCTTGAGTATTCTTTGGGTGAATTTTATTCTTAATTTATCAAATAACCAAAACTCCATACTTCCGTTTGCTTTCTCAGAGCACACAAGATCGAGAGCATGGGGTTTCCAGTTTCGGGTCCTATTCTCCTACGGGAGGCTTAGAACGCTGCCGACCGAAACATGGAATCCTACAGGATGACGGGGTCCTCACAAAAAGGACCAACCTTGAACAGTAGAAGCTTCACTATAAGGAGCTCTAAATACTGTGTGTTAACTTTCTTGTCTTTTGAAGCCCCCATGTAATGTAATGCTTGATTTTACTACGGATCCAACCCTAAACCCCATCTCTAATCGCTAAACCCTCATCTTCTGAAGCCTTCGTATACCGCTCGTTTAGAGTACGGATCCAGCGGAGAGGCCTTGGCCTTAAGCCCCGAGACCTGAATCCTAAACCCTGAGCCCGAAAAAATTGATTACATATATATAACATATACATAACATATATATATATATATACACACACACATAGTATATACATAATATATACAGACTTATACCTTCATATATGGATATAGATATAGCCATAGATATTTGGATACATATATATATATACATATATACATATATATATATATATATATATATATATATGCACATGTGTGTATATGTATATATGTATATGTGTATATATGTATATATGGATATATGTATATATGTATATATGTATATACGTTTGTACATGTATGTGTGTAAACAGTGTGTGCATACTTTTGTTTCGTGTACTGTTCCGGGGTCAGGGTTTTGGGTTTACTTCCGACAAGCAGGACATCTTCGGGGACCGAGCCCACACGTCGGACATGGAGAGATTGACCTCGGTGGACTCGGCGGCGTCGTCGGGCTCAGAGAGGCCTGGGGCCAGGGCTTGAGGCTTAAATAACTATGTCGGTGGTCGTCAAAATTAGGGTCCCTTTTAGGGTACCCTAAACAGTAGGTGGCGTGCTATAATAAGGACCCAAAAACGGACCCTAATTTTGACAACCACCCATATGAAAGAGAGGTTTAGGGTTCAGGGTTGAGGGCTTATAGGGTTACAGATAACCCCCTGCCTAAACCCCCTAAAATCGCAAGGGACCTCAGACTCCCTCGAAGCCCTCAACTCGAACAAACGAAGCTCGACAGGAGGAGGGCAATGAATGGAGCCTACTTGCGCTCGCCCACCATCGGAGACGTGCTGTGCGACTTAGAGGATGTAGGGTTTAGGGTTTAGGGTTGGAAGATGTTTCATCCATGTATCCATGCATCTATCTTTCTAGCTGTCGTCTTTGCATAGATGTAGATATGTACAAGATGCTAAGATGCTCATGTATCCGTACTGCACAAATTTATAGACGTATGCACATACATGTTTGTCAGTATATACTTTTCACGCTAGTGAGATAGGCAGATAGAGGTAGATGGTACGTAGGCAGTTAGACTGACGCAGAGACAGAAGACAGACCGAGAGAGCGAGAGGTTGATAGAACGATAGGTTGACAGATAGTGATAGGTAGATAGGTAAGTAGATAGATAGGTAGACAGATAGATGAATAGACCGAGAGGCAAGTAGACAGAACGAGAGGCAGACAAATAGATACACAGGGGTCGCTGTATGGCCCAGACGATGGTTGGGTTTTTGACCTTGACAGTTGGTCCCTACGAAACCTAGTTTTTGGGCGATACCGTCCAGTCTTACGACTCATTTCTTAAACGACAAGTTCAGGTTTTTTTTCAACAGGTTTAGTGTTTAGGGAGTCATGTCCCAAACGACAGGGTAGGTTCCTGTCGGCTGAAGGGGGCCCTTGCACTGTGCACGGGGAGGTTTCAGGGCATATTAGGGTTTACTGTTTAGGGATGGGATTCAGGCATAGCTTAGGGGGCTTCGTGCTATTCGGAACTCAGGGGCATGTCCTCGTACATTCAAAATTCCTGGTATAACTATACCTAATACTGCATGTCCCAAAACCCAATATTAGTTGGAAAGGCCGCTGGTTCCTGCCAGAGTGGGGGCGAACCTTCGCACCCCCAACCCTAAACCCTAAACCAGTCGTGGTCATTGCCCTAAACGCTAATCTCTATGTTCCAAGCTTTAAACCACTCGTGTGGCTAGCCTAAACCCTAATCCCTAAACCGCCAGGGTTTACGCTTCGTAGTCTGAGTGCTTGCAAGAGGCTCCAGTCATTGCACTACAACATACCTTAATACACCAGATATAGCATAATATGCCAAAGTATATATTTTCCCATTGTCTTTGTATGCCATAATATATCATAATATACTTAGATATGATATAACCTTCCTTCATATACTACAAAATGTACTGTAACATTCGCCAAGTAGCTGTCTCAGACAAGGTAGAAGGGATCATGCATCCGACCTACCTTCATACACCCTCAACCCTAAAAGCAAATCCGTAAACCCCAAACCCAACTTTAAGAAAATCTCAAACCCTCCAACCGGTGTCTCAGGTAAGAAGAAGGACAACTTGGCGCAGATGAACGCGAGTAAGATCTTGGAAGCACTGGAAGAGGCTTGGAAGAAGGGTTTAGGGTTTCGGGGTTTAGGGTTTAGTGGTTTAAGGTTTAGATGTTTAGGGGTTTAGCGGTTTAGGGGTTTAGGGGTTCAGGGGTTTAGGCGTTTGGGGGTTTAGGGTTCAGGGTTTAGGGGTTCAGGGGTTTAGGGTTCAGGGTTTCGGGGTTCAGGGGTTGAGCGGTTTAGGGGTTTAGGGTTCAGGGTTTTAGGGGTTTAGGGGTTGAGCGGTTTAGGGGTTTGGGGCTTCGAGTCTAGGGGTTTACGGGTTAGGGTTTAGGATAGGGCGCTGAGTAGATACAAGACGGCTTTGAGGTTGTCGCAAGGGATCAGCTAGCAACTAGCAACATGAGGATGCCCTTATTCCCTTTTTTAGGGTTCAGGTTGCCTTATAATTATGATCCCATTTAAGCCAAAAGGGGCATCTTTTTTATTCCTAGGTTACTCTTAGGTCTAGGCCAGCAACATGAGCGGCCGCAGCACTCGTCCATTTGTTGCTGCCTGTCATAGGAGGCCGAAAGGGGTTTTAGCCTATGGGGGTTTAGCAGGGGTTAGGGTTCCCATGATAGGGTTCATATTAAGGAATTCCTACCCCAAGAATCTTAACCCCCCCCCTTTTGGCCTCCCATCATGCTTCTGCCAATGCTCCCATGCCTCCTCGTACTCCCAGTAGAAACGCTACGTTTCATTTTTGGGTGCTCGTGCAGTGCTCGCCATCGAACAGTTCTAGTGAGAACGGCAGGACTCGGGACAACAGTCGTTACAGTGGTTTCTAAAGTGACAGGGGAGGGACGGTGCTGATAGTGTTTAGGGCCCCAGACTATTTCAGCTAGTACTGATGGTGATGAGGACCACGACGACTATCATCGGAGTGCCATAGTGATGATGTCGATTTTCTGTTGCGGTTGGTGGTTGCAAAGTTGCGACCAAACAAGAAATGTGTGATTTTGATGATGACGACGATGTCGGCGAGAATGCTGGTGAAGATCACGACGGCGATGATGATGCTGGTGTGATGAAGATAATGTTGATTGCGGTGTTGATGGTGAGGATACTGATGGTGGTGAGGAAGCTGCTGCTGCTGCTGCTGCTGCTGCTGCTGCTGCTGCTGCTGCTGCTGTGACTGCTGCTGCTGCTGCTGTTGTTGTTGTCGTTGTTGGTGGTGGTCTTGGTCTTGGTGTTGTTGATGCAGATGATGATGATGGTGATGATGACGGGAATGGTGATGGTGACGATGAGGATGGTGATAGTAATGACTATGCAAGGTGGCCATGGTGACACATGCCAACGTACTTCGAAGATACGGTTGCTGATGAAGATGCCAGCCATCGTCCGTGCTCTCCCTCCTTCCTCCTCATCTCCACGTGCATCCTCATCATCCCAACAGGTGCATCTTTGGCATGCATTCAGCATCGTTATGGGCATCAAGACCATCATCAAGATCATCATCATGATCTTCATGATCATCATCATCATCATCATCATCGCCACCATCATCATCATCGTCGTCATCATCACCAGCATCAGCGTCGTCATCATCATCACCGTCAGTGTCATCATCATCATCATCATCACCGTCAGTGTCATCATCAGCACCATCATCATCATCATCATTATCGTCGTCATCATCACCAGCATCAGCGTCGCCATCATCATCATCATCATCACCGTCAGTGTCATCATCAGCGCCATCAGCATCATCAGCATCATCACTATCAGCATCACCAGCATCAAAATCATCATCACCATCAACAGCACCATCATTAACATCGCCAGCATCATCGCCAGCATCATCAGCAGCATCGTTATCATTATCATGAGCACCAAAATCGTCATCAGCATCATCATGTCATCACCATGACCATTCATCTTCCATCATTATCAGCATCTTAATCGGCATCATCATCATAATCAGCATCATCATCAATCATCACCAGCAGCATCATTCTGAACATAAGCTTTCACCTTTATCAGCTTGTGCAGCACCCAACCAAACCCAGCTCGACAGCCGTCGGCGTCTTCATCACCATCGTCCTTACCATCACCACCATCGCCATCATCTTCACCATTGCTCCTGCCAACGGCCATGGTGACATCAACATCCTCGTTGACATCACCATGCCTCCCCAACTCCTGAACCGGCGCGACCCTAAACTCACTCTGCATCCTGGCACAGGACGACGAGGACGATGGTGTCAAATCTCCGGCCAGTTTCGCGCATCTCGCCTTGCTGCCAAAGCCGAATACGGGTTTAGGGTTTAGGGTTACGGTGGCGAAGAGTTTGATACGAGTTTGAGGCTTAAAGTTGGTGGTTTCCATTGATGGCGAGTGCAGAGAATCCGTTGGTGTGTTGTGCATTCTTCACATGGGAGTTCCGAAAATTAGGGATACCTTATTTGGGGTCCTTATAATAAGGATCCCACTATTTAGGGTACTATATTAGGGTCCCCTATTTTCGGAAACTCCCATAAGAAGCCACTGATAACAGTGTACGCTGACCGTGCCAGCCGTTGGCAGCGCCCGAGCTCAGAAAGGTATATGGTCGGGTTCAGGGTCAGCCGTAAACCTTAGACCCTCAAGGGTTGATCTTTGGGCTGTTTAGGGTTAGGAAACCTTGAACCCTAAACCCTAAATCCCTAAACCCCTAAACCCCTAAACCCGAAACCCTTAAACCCTAAACCCTATAGGCCCGAAGCTTTACAAGCACTCAGCCTTGAGCCTCAAAGACCGAGAAGAATCGATGGCTCTGAGCAGAGCCCTCCTTAATGTAATATGTCCTGGGATCCAAACCGCAAGTTCCATCCTGAACTCTAAACCATCGTTTTAGGGTGTAGGGTTTAGGGTTGGGGTTTCTGAACTTCCAAGGGTAAAAGGAGGGGCCCTTAATGGGGACCCCTACCCTATAATGGGCTATATAATGGATATATAACAGCTACATTAAGGGTATATACCTAGGGGTCCTTACTGAGGGTCCCTCCTTTTCCCCTTTGATTTTCGTTCACTAGGTATCGATTTGGGATAGCTCCTAATTCCCCATATTGTTAATATTGAGTACATATAGAGCGCTAATTACACCGATATCTTGGGGACTGTTGATTGTCGTAATACAAGCACGAGGGCTTGCTAGAAGTGCAGCTTGAACTCGACCCGGAAGCCCGAAACCCGAAATCCTAAACCCTTGAGTCTACGGGGCTTTTAGCCAGCCCCGGAGCCCTGCAACCCTCCACCCCTGAGCCCTACCACAGCTAGAAGAGGTCACTTAAGCTGTAAACCCAGAGTCCTAGAGAGCCGTAGTTACACAAGGTTTAGGGTTGAAGGGCTTGGGGTTTAGGGCCACTTATCGCCGCGGATATACCCGAGGAGCTAGAAGCGTTTCTGCACGGTTGCAGGACCGTTGCCAGGTCCTTTTAACTCCACATAACACCTTCTTCACAGCCTTCAATTACGTAGAGCCTTTTTCCAGACTCTTCAAAGACATGCCTAAACTCGAAACCTTGAACCCATAAACCCTGCAACCTAAACCCTAAACCTCGCAGGCACCCCAAACCCTGAATCTTCTGCCCTCTTCTAGGTAGGGCTTTGGGACATCTTATATTTTCCCTTATTGGGCTTAAGAGGATCTTCTTTACTAATATTTTTCAAAAGCTTTAAAAGCCCCACCTAGTCTTGCCCAGTAGTACCCTTATTCCCTTTTTGTAGTCCTAGGTTCCTTATACAGTTACCCAATACCAAAAAGAGAGGCCTTTTTATTCTTAGGTTACTGGGTATCCTAGCTACTTATAACCCCGATTAAGGTCCTTATAACCCTACTTACTAAGTCCCATGATCCCCATAAAAGAACCCTTATAGATCCCTTTAAGGAACCCTAAAACCGATTCTAAACCCTAAACTCTGAATTTTCTGCCCTCTTGCCCAGGGGTGACATGAAGGCGCTGTTCAGACACCGTGGGTCCATGGAAGATGTCCATTTCACGAAGTCTGGGGACGTGAAGCCTGGGCCTCAAAAGCGTCACCTGTGAAGGCTAGTGTAGAGGGTTGCTAGAAGAGCCCTAGACCCTAAACCCTAAATCGGGTTCGGTAAGGTTTCTGCAAGGGGGTTGAAAGTTGAGGGCAAGCTTTAGGGTTAGAGGTGGGGTCTCAGACTGTGGGGTTTCAAAGGAGTTAGAACTGCAGAGTTCGGGGCTTTAGGGCTTGCGGTTTGAGGGTGGAGAGACCTCGGGACTTCATGGTTTCAGGCGTGGCGTATATAAGGCTTTCGAGCCTGGAGCTGGGGAACTCGGGCTTGTGCGGGGGCATGAGGTTCAAGTATTCACGCTTGTCGATGCTTTGAGGCTGAGGGCTTTGGCGGTATACATACATGCATGTATGCATACTGATACGCATGTACGTACATAATGCATATATATATATATACATATGCATATATACATATATACATCCCGACACATATAGACTTAGACTTATACATATATGCACATATACATACATACATACATACATACATACATACATATATATATATATATATATATATATATATATATATATATGTATGTATGTATGTATGTATGTATGTATGTATGTATGTGTGTGCATACATCTTATATAAAAGGAGTGTGAGTAATTAGAAATGGAGGGTGGGTTCTCTGTGATAGCTACTCCAACAAATGCCAGAGCCCGATTGCAGTTAATAAAGGTCCCTACATTAAGACCCCAAGGTGCGCAGAACTGCAACAGGTCTTCGGATGCAACTCGATGAGACTGCCATCTTTTGAAGGTTTTGAAGTAGGTCTGTAGTAGTAGGGCTTACCTGATTTGTATAGGCTCGTTGTTCCTGGAGCTTTTTCTTGCTAGTTTCACGTATTTGGGACCGGCCCCGGGGTGATTTGTGCTCTCTGCGCCTAAACCCAAAACCCTCAACTCCAAACCCTCTAGGCTCCAAATCGTAAGCTGCATAACTCCAGCACTAAATGGTGCCCACTGTCTTGGGGTATGGCGCAGGCGCTACCTCCAGATGTCCAAGTCGGAGAGGGCCACATATTGGTTAACCTCTACACCTTACGAGATGGCGCCGCTGTGTTGCACAGTCAACAGTTTTGGGCATCGAGGTTACCAGCCGGGAACCCTCCAAAGAAACCGATATAGATCTCTGACACAAACTATATAGAGCCCGACATACTTAATACCCCCAATACCCTTATTTCCTACCTTCAATGCTAGAATGCAGCTGATCATGGTGGCAAGCGACCCGGCAAGAACAGAGTAGTAAGTCCTGCAAGAAGTGAGAAACTAGGACCCAGAGTAGGCCCTTATTCCTTTTTTTAGGGTTCAGGTTCCCGTATCCCCTTTAAACCAAAAAGGGCACCCTTTTTCTTCCTAGGTCACTCTTAGGTCTAGGAAAGCCCTACGATTGCTTGTGTACTCCAGGCTTGCCCAATCCTAGGCATCCTTTTACTTCTGTTTTCTTGTGAGTTTTGGTTTCCTTGCTGGTAAGTGGGTTTAGGGTTTAGGGAGCTTCTAAAAGGTAACGGTGACCCGGAATAGTCCTCCAATTCATCGATAGATCATGCAGGTTTTCATTTTTCAGTAGCAGTTCATGAAAGGCTGGGATTTAGGGTTGAGGGTTTCCGATAGCAGCAGGGACTAGAGTCATGATTCAGAAAAGGCCACTGTCGTTGTTGTTGTTGTTGTTGTTGTTGTTGCTGCTGCTGCTGCTGCTGCTGTCTTGCTATCTTCTCGTTTATATTGCCGCCTTTGCGACATCATGTTGGAGTCGGCTGAGGTGAAGCATGTATCTAGGATGCCCAGTAACCTAGGAATAAAAAGGGTTCCCTTTTTCGTATTGGGTAACTTTAAAGGGAACCTAGGACTACAAAAAGGGAATAAGGGCAGTACTGGGCATCCTAGGTATGGGGTTGCTCCAACCCCTAACTCCGTTCTATGGCGTGTAGGGCAGCCAGAATCGAATGAGAACCAGCGAATCAGGGGACCCGGATGTAGATGATAACTACACACGATGTAACTAGCCGTACAGCAGCATCGGTCAGCATCATACTTACCAGCATCACCAGAGAGCAGTAAGATTCCAACGGTGATGACGGTGATGGTGATGATGCTGATGTTATTGATGATGATGATGATGAAGATGATGGTGACGAGGGTGATTATGATCATGTTGATGACGACGTCACTGTCACGGTCACGGACACGAGACCGACATGGAGATGATGCTGCCACTGCCGGTGGCGATGTTGTCCGACTGTCGCAGCAATAACATCCTCGCGTTGGTTTGCATCAGAGTTTATACAGCGGCCCAACAAACTGCACAGCCCATAGACATCCAAATTTCTATCCGTCCCTCAAGTCATAGTTGGAGTAGTACTGATAATCAAGGGTGGCTTTGATCCTCCTCCTCAAACGTCCCCTAAACCCTAAATCCTTAACCCAGGGTGGCTTTGATCCTCCTGCTCAACGTCCTGTGGATGGCACTGGATCTTCAGGCCAGCTGAGGGCTCCCACCTGGAGTCTGACCCAGAAACCCCGAACCGATCAAATACTGATAATTAGTGGTTCCTCAAAGGGTTCCCGAAAGGGTTCTTGAAGGGCTCCTTAAAGTGGTCTTTAGGGGTTTAGGGTCTACTGGGTCCCTGAGTAGTACCCGTTTGCCCTTTGTTTTGGGGCCTCCTTACCAAAACCGAATAGTAGGAAAAAGGGTACCCTTATTTATAAAGGGGCTACTCAGGAGCCGAGACTAGTATTGAGAAGAATGGTATCAGGGGCTACCAACTCTTTTTTCGCCTCAATAAACCCTTACCCGCCAGCCCTAAAACCCAAATTCGAAACATGGCGTGATGAACCCGTCAAGTGGGTCCTCGACGTTGTATGTGGACAGATCGATTTGGGCTCCTTCTCATGAGTTCACGGTTTAGAGTTCAGAGTTTTAGTTTTGGGTTTGGGTATGTTTGGGTCTTACCGGAGGCATGAGCATTTTTGGACATCGAAGCCGGGGTGTAGCGTCTCGAGCGCAGGACTACGACTTGCCTAACATCCCCGGGAAAGCCCACTAGGCATCCTTAGCATTATAGGATCCTTAAGGGGGGGTGGTTCAAGGGGGGAGGGTACTAGGGAGCTTTGGGGAACCTTAGGGAAGCTTAGGGAGTATTGGGGAATAATGGGGATTACTAGGTTACCTACCCCCCTTGGACCACCCCCCCTTAAGGACATCCTAATAGCAAGGAGCTCGTACTCCTCATGAGCCCGTATTCTTGATTAAAGCTAGGACTTAGGGTGAAGGGTTTAGGACTTCAGGTTTAGGGTTTAGGGGTCAGGGCTGGTTAGGGCGGTAGGTTGCCTAAACCTCAGACATATAACTGCAGTAGAACTCGTACAAAGCCTTTACAGGCCACAGAACCCTTACAGAGCCTACACCCCGAACCCTACACCCCACTCCCTAAACGCTAGACCCCAAACTCCAAACCCTAAACCCCAAACCCTAAGTCCTAAACTCCAAACCTTACACCCTAAACCCTACACCCCAAACCCTAAACCCTAAACCCTAAAGCCACAACTCCACTTAAAAAACAAAGCCTGCAGTTCCTTATTATGTTTAAAGTATAATGGCCCCAAAACCCTATTCTAATTATTGATATTACACCGAAATTGTAGCCTTTATAGTAGCCCTTATAGAGCCCTTTAACAGGAACCCTTCAAAGGACCCCTATTGCCCTGCACCCACAATTCGCCAGATCCACCCCGCATGGTAGGATCCTTATTATAAGAAACCCAGAATAAGGTACCCCGAATTTCGGAAACTCTAAGCCATGCATCCCAAACCCTGTATAAAAACCTTACAGATCCCGCGCCAGATCCATGGCTCCATGTCCGGTAGTGAGATGGGCATCGGCGGCGTCTTTCTCTTCGACCCGTGGGCTTTAACATTCAGGGTCGTTTAGGGTTTAGGGTATAGGGTTTCGGGTTTCGGGTTTAGGGTATAGGGTTTAGGGTAAAGGGTGCAAGGTTTAGGGGTTCGCAGGGCACGAAATAGTTAGGGATTCTGTAAGGGTTCTGTCACAGTTCTACACGGGATCTAGCGGGCTTCTAAATGATTCTGTAAGGGGGCTCTTATTCGATTACATAGGGCGTGATAGGGCGCCATACTGGCTTTATGTGGTGGGTGCTAATGAGGATTCATAGGGTGTCATGGTAGCTTGTCAAGAGACCAAAGCATCCAATGTTTAGGTGCTTTGGCAGGACAGTAGCAATTGTAGATTGGTCCTTGGATGTTTGTGATCAGAAGGCACTCTGAGGGTACGGGTGTAGGATGTCACGGGTCCAAAGTGTGGGATTAGGGTACTGGGGTTTCGCTTTAGCTAGACATCTGAATACTTTGCTGTTGTCTTAGTATGTCCTAGAGTCCTTATACAGTTCTTGTATCATAACATACCTAAGCCTGCATACTACTCATAAAGGCCGCTAATATCGTTCTGTAGTCCTCAGCCCGAGCACGAGAAACCCTGAACAGATTTGGGGTACAGGTAGCAGGGTTTCCGGAGGTGGGGTTTGGGCTTTGAGGGTTAGGGCTTCTACACTAAAACCCTAAACCCTAAACCCTCAAACCTAAAACCTAAACCCTAAACCCTAAACGAGCCCTAAAACTCCTAAACCCCAGAACCTAAACGAGGCAATCTTTCGATGTTCCGGTTGGTCCTGGTAGTGCTCAGGTCTGGGGCAAGGGCCGCTCAGGGATGAAGACCTCAACATTAATTCCCAGGGTCCTGAGTAGTACCCTTTTTTTTTTGTTTTGGGCCCCGCGTATTAAAACCGAATAGTAGGAACAAGAGTACCTTCATTATAAAGAGTCGACCCAGGACTCTAGATATAGAGAGGTGTCCGAAATACAGTTGCTAGGACTTTCTGGGTCCTTGTTCCGGAAGTTTTTTTGTAAGTTACCATACGAAGGATACCACCATGTGTACTATAGATGCCTGCTATGGCATCTCCAAATAGATCCCTGAGCAAGAACCTCTGTTTAGCGTGTAGGGCCCGAATGGACAAGTTTGGGGACCATTGACATGGAGATCTAGTTGGAAGGTACTCGTAGAGTAAGCTCCCAAGCCCTTAACCTAGGTAGGCCTTGGAGAGATTGCACAATTTTCCCTTATTGGGCTTAAGAGGCCTGGTGTTACGAGTAATTTTCAGAGGCTTGAAAGGGCCAACCTAGTATCGCTAAGCCCTAAAGCCTAAACCCTAAACCTCATCCGTTCGAAGGGCTCTCTCTCTGTCCTGGAAGCTCAGCCCAACAGCTCACGACATCGATCCTTAGATCTGCGAGCCGAAACTCTTGCTACACCTAGGATTTATGGTTTAGGGCTTAAGAACCGTAAGCAAGGAGTCAAGCGAGCTTTCGGACGAGCTGATTCATGCCGGGGATGTTTTCTTTGCCGTCATCTTTGCCCCTCGGCCTTTTCGAAGTTTCTGGACCCTTCGGCGCCATGTTCAGGGTGCAGATTGAGGGCCTGGTTTAATTAGTGCATGGGGTTCAGGGTCTAGGGACTGTTAAGGAGTTGGTAAAAGCCTTGACAAAACCCCTAAACCCTTAACCCTAACCCTAAACCCTAAACCGTCTTCATGAAACATTCATAGCACCTTAATCCCTTGCAACGCCTAGGGTTGAAGGTTCAGACCTCAAGCAAGGAAATCGGAATAAGGTTTAGGGTTTATTTTAGGTTTTAGGGTTATTGTCTTGAAAGCCTTTGGGTGGAGGTGTCAGATGTAGCGTGTAGCGAAAAAGCTTTATCAGGATTCCAGTGTCAGGTTCGGGAGGCGGGGGTGTTTGCTCTACAACTCGCGATCAGGGCGTTTGACATTGAATTAGGTTCAGGTTTTAGGGTTCAGGGTTTAGGGTTCAGGTTTAGGGTTAAGGGTTTAGGGTTTACGGCTTAGGGTTTTAGGGCACGACAAAGGGGTTCGGAGTTTAGGGTTTGGAACCCGCACTCCACGCGAGGAAACTCGCAAGGTCCAGGACCCTCGACTTGGAACTGGGAGCTTCCGAAAGTAGAGGACCCTTTGATGGTACCTTAAATAGTAGGCTCCGTATTACAAGGACCCCAAAATAAGGTACCCCTAACCAGAGCAGCGTTTTCCCACAACAGGCGAGCCCGGAAGAAGCTTGGTCTCATGTCGGAGTAATTTATGATGCCATCCCCTCAGAGTCATAGCCTCCAATGTTGTCTACCATAATAAACTCCCGCAGGCACGCCAAACCGAGGCACCTGCTGCGACGAAAGCACTGTAGCCTGAAACACCGGCGATGATACCTTGAGCCCTCGGTTTAGGGTTTCAGGTTTAGGGTCTAGACGAACCCCGAGCCCCTAGCCTGACACCCGAAGCCGCAGAGGCCGTGGACGTGGTGGCTCGCATCATCTTTGTTGGGAGGAGGTTTTGGCATAGCTGGCCGACGCTCGAAAGCATCGGAGTCGCAAAAGGCGAGGCGTTAGGGGTTAGGAACAGTAGGTTGTTTTGCGTATTTCGCCATTTCCAAGGGTGGGTCGGCGAGGATCCGTGTTCAAGAATAGTTTTAACAGGCTTTTACGGGTTAACCCAGCAAACTTTTAGAAGCGTAGCTTGAGGTATGCGTGATTTTGGTTCAGAGCAACATCCTCTGAAGTTTAGGAACCCTAAACCCTAAACCCTACACCCTAAACCCCTAAACTCTGAACCCCAAAAGTTTAGGGTGCCCTCCACCATGAGCCAGACTGAGTTCCGCAGTTGTTTCAGACGGGGCTGAGATGGTTGAGAATTTACTGTAGGTTTTAGGGTTACTAAGGTCTCTTTAGGATTATTTTTTATTTTTGTTGACACAAAAAAACCCAAGATAATATTAAAACTTGTATTTGTATTATGGTTCTAAGGGGGGTATAAGTTGGGGTCATAGTACTAGCATCCCTGTGCAGCCCCATATCCTGCCATAACCTACTTGTTTGTAGGCTGCTGTACAGAGTAAACCGTCAAACCTAAACAGAACAGATGAGCGGTGCAGTGAACAAAGCCGCAGCAACATGGCCTCCTGTCACATTATTTTGCTTCGCCGCCATGAGCAGCAGTCGTTGAGCAACCGCGGCGCACTGAGCCTGTTCGTGGCTGGCTGGGCGCGGCGTCTGCGGGGAAAGTAGAACATGAGGCGCTCTTTGGCAACGGCTTGCACATGAAGCTGCGCGTGGTCCCTATAGACCATAGACTCTCTGTACTACAGCTGGATTGTGGGGGCTCCACAAACCGTAAGCTATGGTAGGTTCGGCTATATTACCTGACTCTTCTACCACAGCTGGATTGACATTTGGGGCTCCGCAAACAATAAGCTATGCTACATTACCGTCTCCCTGGCTTTACTATGAATGGATTGGTGTTTGGGGCTCTACAAACAGTAGGTCTATGATAGATTAGAGAATAGAAACCTCAAGCCCCACAGCCCAGACCCCAAAGTCTTACAGAATCTTGATAAAGTCTTCTAGATCCCTCCTTACCCAACCTTGAAACCCCTTCAAGAACAGGGCTATCCCGGGTGTTTGGTGAGGTTTTCGTTGTTTGGCCCTAAAACCTGACCCCTAAGCCCTAAAACCCCAAACCGTTGGGGCTCCCCAGTGTTCATGGCCCTGATTTCACTTGTAGGTAGCGTCATTTGTGGTATGTAAGATTAGCCTAACTCGGGCTATGGTACTCAGCTGGTCTGAGCAATTCTACCTGGGTTTCCGGGTATATTACTACAATCATATTCAGGAGCCCGAAGGAACGACGCAACTAATTTAGCCAGCCGGCTAATTTCGAGTCACGTTTAGCCGCTTAACCCTCCAACTTATGACCCCTACCTGCAAAAGTTAAACGTGACTCGCCCGCCTTGCCCTAAACCCTAGACCCTAAATCCTAAACCCCTAAGCCCTAAACCGGTACTCCTATGCAACTCTAAGAACCAATAGGCCTTTGACGCAAATACCCTAAATCCTAAACCCCTAAACCCCTAGACCCTAAATTCTAAACCCTAAGCTCTATAGATCAGAGACTTAGGAACTACATCGACGCCTGGCTTCCTCAGTCTCGCAGCCCTGGGCCTATTTTTTTGTTTTGCTTCAAGGGTCAGGGGTAAGAGTTTTGGGTTTAAGCTGGTGTCCAGACTCTTGTTTGTTCTTTTTGACTTCGGGCTTTGGGGGCTTTTAGGGTTTAGGGACTCTTATTTTTTTCTTTAGGGTTTGGTGGTACTGTTCAGGGTTTAAGTTTAGAGCTGCGCAATCCTAAGTCGAATCAGGAAGGGGTCTGAATCTCATATACAACCCACGCCTGAACAAATACCCGTATTATTCCCCAGGGTTCTTGAGAATACTTATAGTATCCCCAAAGCCTGTTCTCATTATTAACTTAGGGCTCCAAAACTAAAGCTTCTGGGTTTTGGAGGTTTACGGCTCCAAGTTTGAGGCTGGGAGGTCTCGTCGACGGTCTGCGTTCCAAGGGGGCCAAGTTGTACTTGGAAGGATCAGTTTTATGGTTTAGGGTTTAGTTGTCTGGTGGCCAGGGGCCATAATGAGGGTAACTACTCCTATACTGCATTGTATCCCGAATAAGGTGCTTACAACCATGCTAGCTAAGTAAGTGCCATGGTCCTTCAAGTACCCAGAGGCCCCCAAAGTCGTACAAGGATGCGCTGAACCCTTGTCCCGAAGCCCGAAGCCTACAACGAAGGTCAACCTTACATCATACCACCATAAGACTTCAAAAACTCTTTGAAAGGCCCTTGAAAGCCCGAAAACCTTAAAGCCAACCTGAACCAACCACCTGGGGTCTTCGACTCTGTGAAACAAGCTTAGCTTGAGCCCGTACAGCGTCAGGGTTCAGGGTTTACGGCTGTAGATTTCGGGCGCAAGGGGTTTGGGTTTAGGGACTGACTTTGAGGGTTTCAGGGCCTAGGGGTGGAGATCAGCGGATGTAGGATTAGTTCCACCACTGCACCCCCCAAGGTCCTCAACTTTTTTGCGAACCCTAAATCCTAGACCCTCCCAGATCATAAGCCCAAAGTCCTGAACCTTATTGCGAACATAGGAACACCAGGATCGTAGTTTAGCATCTCGGGAGTGTCGAAAGGTAGTTCGAGCACGAAACAGGCAAAGCAGAGTGATGTTTGTCGTCTTATCTGGCCCCTCCCTACAGTTGAGTCGCTGTGTTGTCATTGTATGTGAAGCGTAAGCCCCAAAATCCTGTGTAAAAGATCCTTGTTGAGGATTTGGCTGTGTCCGTCACATCGATTGTTGAGCTTTCTCTTTATTACAGCCTGGAGTGCCTGGCACGCAATGACCAGGGTTTTCTGGTTGAGAGCGGCCTCATACCCTCAGCTCTGCGCGCTAAGCAAGATACTCCGGAGCCCAATGTGGGAGTTTCCGAAAAGAGGGGACCGTTCTGTAGGGTTTGGTGTGTAAACCCTGAGCCTAAAGCCGAGGATGTAAGCACATGGGGCACAGGCGCCATCCGATGTAGCACCCAGTGAGTCAAAGCACCCAGAGACTCCAATATCCCTTAATTAAGGAATATTCCTTAAATTATAGTAAGGATCCCTTATATGATTTAAGGAATATTCCTTAATTAAGGGATATTGGAGTCTCTGGGCAGTGAGTCAAAGCAAGCAGGCTGCAACCCCCGACACGACTCGAGGAATCGACTCCCGAAACTCCCAAAGTCCCGAAGGCCTGCCCTAGCCATGCGAGGCCGAACACCTAACTCAAGACCCAAGTTTAGCTAGGGTTTAGGGTTTAGGGGGTTTAGGGTTTAGGGTTTAGGGTTTAGGGGTTTAGGGTTTAGGATTTAGGGTTTAGGGTTTAGGGTTTAGGATTTAGGGTTTAGGGTTTAGGGATCTGGCAAAATTACAGCAGGAGGAATGCACACCGTCACACAGGTGCCCAAAACCCTTAACCGAACAGCCCTGAACCTCACTCCAACAGTGTCGAATGCTTTCAAGACATCAGTCGTGCGATGAATAGGTCGGCGAGTTTCTGCAATGACTAGAAGTATTTAGGGTTCAGAGTCTAGGGTGGGGGGTTCAGGGTTTTGTCCGACAATAGCACATGAAGCAGGACAACACTCAAGCGCGGACCAGTCAAACCACGGGAACGGAAGCTATGCCACGGCATGCTCGGGACTGTTGAGGTAGAGTGCCCAGAGACTCCAATATCCCTTAATTAAGGAATATTCCTTAAATCATATAAGGGATCCTACTATCATTTAAGGTATATTCCTTAATTAAGGGATATTGGAGTCTCTGGGTGGCTTTCGCGTTTGAGGCTTCAGCGTCTGTGAACATGAGCGACCTGGATCCGTCGCATTCGAAGTCCTCAGCCCTGACCTCTCTACCCTGGCTAAACTCTAAACCCCTAAACCCTTAAACCCTAAACCCTAAACCCATAGACCCTAAATCCTAAACCCTAAACCCCTGAACCCTAAGCCCCAAGCCCTAAACCCCTAAGGCCTAAACCCTAAACCCTAAACTCCACCCTGGGTACAGGAAGCATCTGCAGAAGTGCCCAGGTTCCCACTGAACCCCGTGATTTTCCGCTTGTTGCGGCTGCTCGCCATTCAGAACTGGGCAGCAGTTTCCATAATATGGGGCTTAAATAATTACCAATGTTATGGTGGGGTTCCTTATTATGATTATAGTATAATGGGCCCCAAAACCCTAGTCTAATTACATCAAGCCCTCAGCCTCAATGCAGCGGGTGGAGCTTTGAGGTTGTCTTCTAGTACGGTTGATGATGCTGGGACTGTCAGAGCTTTATATCAGAAGTGACCTTGTAAAGGTTCCGAAAATTCAGTTTTGGACGAAAGTTTACACCTAGGCCTCAAAGAGGTATGGTGACTTATCGGTCCGAGTGCAGAACGTTCTATTCGGGTTTGGGTGAACGCACGTCGCGCATATTTGTGAGTGTATCCTTTGGCACGCTTTCGAGGTTTCTAGTAATGAAGACTTTGCGCCGAAGTCTCCTATCATTCTTTGGATTGGGATGCAAGACAAGCACCATTCGCCCCAAGACTGCAGTCTACTATCGTGTACCCCTCCAACCGTTTGTTCCAATTACCCTTATATTATCGCCTACAGGGTGTCAGGGTCAGTGGTTTGGATGTTCGATTTGCGCCGGAGCCCTTGTAACAAACAGTGTTTGCTGTTCCTCTGCCTCATCTTTGCGCTCTCCTAACAACCGACACCAGTTTATGGTGAAAACCATAGAGGTCTCCATAAGTCGTAAGACCTACTGCGGCTTCAGGGAGAGGGGGAGGAGATTTCGGGACGTTCAGAGGGACATTAGAGGGATTCACTCTCCCACTCCCCCTTACCCAGAGACTCCAATATCCCTTAATTAAGGAATATACCTTAAATTATAGTAGGATCCCTTCTATGATTTAAGGAATATTCCGTAATTAAGGGATCTTTGAGTCTCTGGGTATCTCCTCCTAAACCCTAGACCCTAGACCCTAGACCCTAAACCCTAAACCCTAAATATCTCCTCGCACTCCCCATATAACTAGACTGTAGGATGGCCCCAAAGCCCTTGACAAGATGAGACGCCTGCATCAAAGCCCTAATAGAGGGGCCTAGATAATTACTATTTTGCGGGTTCCTTAATATATTATATAGGATATCATACCCCCCCCCCAACCCTATTATAGGGGCCGAAATAATTACTATTTTGGGGGTTCCTGATTACAAACCCTATTCTAATTACCCAGAAACGCCTCGATCAGGATAGGGAAGCTGGCGCGTGCAATTCGTATGGTCACCATGACCAGCGTTCCCGAGCTGCACTCTTGCTGGGATTTAGGATTTGAGGGTTTGGTTTTGGGGTGTAGGTTTGTTTGGGTTTCGGTTCTAAAGCTTTCGCTCAGGCTTTTAGGGTATCGGATTTCGAGTTTAGCTTGAGGGTTCGTGTTTCAAGGCTCACCGGCAGCAGTAGTACAGGACAAAGCCTAGCTGACTGCAGATCCTACTGCGGGAACATGCGCCAGTATCAGCAACGCCAGCGCCAGTAGCATGGCCATCACGATCAGACTATCATCATCTTCATCATCATCATCATCAACATCATCAACAAGCATCTCGGCCCAGACCTGCTCCGAAGCTCCACCAGGCCTTTACATGCCTCGCTCTCATGCCGTGCCTAGCCCGAGCGATCCTCCTACTTCTGGCGACGATTCTACATCCTCGGGAACCAGGTCGCCAATCTCCCCAGTTATGGCCAGCAAGCTTCAGCTCCACACGCCCGCTCTCCAGGCCTTTCGCAATTACGTGCTCCTGGAGTTGGGATGGCTGCATTATGAGCACTTCCTGGTTTCCACCTACGGGGCTGACAGACGGCAAGGCTCAGCGAAGCTTTGCGCGCTCAAGCGCGCCCAGTGCGAGATGCCTGCGGACAGGGCCCTCTCAGGTACATTGGACAGAATGGATGATCAGAACCGAAACGACAACCTACAGACCGACTTTCGGTTTCTGCGGGGCGTTCTGGAGCGACCGCCGCAACGGAACGACATCAACTGGATCCTCAATGCTGGCAACCAGTACTGTGCTCCGCGGCACATCCTTCTGCAATGCCTCTGCCGCCTTGCCTGCCGCACCCTTTCAGACAACCTGGTGCACCGGTTCATGGCGCAGACCATGGCAAGAATCATACATGCCCGAGCTCAGCCGCTCTTCTACCAGGACACCGTTGTCGCTCTCCTGCCGTTGGTTCCTCGGACCAGCTTGGGTCGGCTTCAAGCCTGGTATGCCAACTACGAATTTCAAGAACGATGTCGACACGCCCTCCTCCATGGACTGCAGCCGTCGCCGAATCAGCTTGTGGAGCCTCCAGGACCGCGCGCTGGTTCCTCTACGGATGGACCCAGGACGAACCCAGCGGCTGTGGAAGTTTCGCTTCAGGCCCATGGGCCGGAGACATCGGCTACCTCGGCGCCGTCGTCTACGTCAAGGCCGACACCGCGCCCAGGCGACACGGTTTTGCCAGGAGGTCACGAACTTTCTGAGAGCACTCCGAAGCCTCCTTGTAAACGGTGATGTACATAGCATGACGCGTAGGCTGCAGGCCAGGCCCGGAGCTCCCAGCACGTACTGCAATGAGGGCCGTCCCGGTCCCAATTCCGGGACCAGTGACATTACTACCCTGAACGAAGCAACAACATATGTCACTGGAGATGCGAGGGTTGGGGAAGGGCGACGTCACACGACCATTTTCTAAGAAGAGTCACGTCTAAAAGAATGGCTCCTTCTCTCAGCCCTAATCACATAGCTAGCGTCGGCCCGAATCCCAATCTAGGAACCCGTAGCAACATCCCATGTGTACCGCCCCTCAAAGTCTTTCGTGGCATCCTGAGCGTTCTGATCTTTCAGGATCAACAGGTCCGGAGCCAAGCAGTGCAGCCTCCCTTGCATTTTAATATGCTCGGTTTGGGCAACAATGCGCAGCCTAGTCGAACCAGCGGTGTAGCCTCCCGAAACCATCAACGTATCGTGAAGCGCTCCTACATTCGTGCTCAGCGCAGAATCCAGACACAGGGCTGGACGTGGTATCGAGGACAGCAGCTTAGACAGCCCGATCCCCGATTTAAGCCCAACCCTATGCCACGACCAGACGGCAGGATGTCGCCGCCCAAAGTAGCACCACGAGCCACCACAGCTGCTCAGCCCACTTTTAAGTTTGTGAGCTGGAACTGTGGGGGGCTGTCGGCACTTGGCTTCGAAGCTCTCCTCCAATGGCAAGCTCAGACCTCACCCACCCTAACCATCCTCAGCCTTCAGGAAACCCACTGGGCCAACTCCAGCGAGTTCGTGCACAACTCGTGGCACTGCGTGTCCAGCTCTGATGGCACTAGGAACGCAGGGGTTATGGTGTTGGTTCGCTTCCCTCCGGGTCAGCAGGTACCTATACAGTACCACGAGGTCATACCAGGTAGGCTGCTACACGTACGCATATGCACCGAACCTCCCATTGAGACCCTCACAGTATACCAGCATAGTTGGAATCCATACAAGAAGTGCTATCAAAACCAAGCGGAGGACCCTACGACGCTTCTAATGCAGGACCGTGCCACGATCTGGACAGCAGTTCAATCTTGGGCCTCCGCCGTACCTGCAAGAAGCAGATTGGTTGTAGCCGGAGATCTCAACGCAGCTTTACGCGCCCACCATCCAAATGTAGGACCGGGTCTCATGCCACATAAGACCGGAATACACAAAGACCAGGCAAGCCTTCAACACTTGGTCCAAAACCTAGGCCTAGTTGCAGTTAATACCTGGCGCAAGTCTGGTAAGCCATCAGCCACCTACTGCAGTTATGATGGCCAAATGGTTCAGATCGACTATGTGCTGCTTCGCATTCCGATCAATGTGCCGGCTCTTGATGTGCGAGTGCTTCAAGACGCCCCAGTAAGTAGTTGCGGACACAGGTATGAGACACTTCCCCATCTCCCTAAGAGTACCTTTGCCCCAACTGCCTCAAACCCGTAAAAAGCCTCGCCAACTCACTGCCAGGACAGCCAATGAAGCACTCACGCATCAGCCAACAGCAGACCTGTTTGCATGCGAAGTTCGGCGACGCTTTCAGTCACCAGTGCCAGCGGAGAGCATTGATGCAGTGTTACGAGACATTGGCCACCAACTTCTCCTTAAACCCCACAAACCCCCTGCCACCATACAACAACCCGACCTTAAGCTGTATTGGCAAAGCAAGCGCAGTTGTAGGGAGACCGCGTTGCTCCTCAGCTCTCGCACTGACTGTAGCTGCTGGTCTCGACACCTTGTCACTGCGGCTGCAATGCGCTCAGCGGTTGCCAACACACATGCTCTTTTGAGAGCATGGTCAGCGCGCGCACGCCATCAGCGCATAGCACGAAACCTTAACAGAAGTATCAGAGCAGCGAAGAAGCAGCAAGCTGAACACATGATTCAGGAAGCGTACCAAGCGGAAGCCAGAGGACTGTCGCATGTGTATCAGGTCATGCACAAGCTTGCACCTAAGCAGCCTAAGCGCTCGATCCACCTCAAAGCGCCGGGGCGTGGCTTTCTCACAGCTGAGCAATCGCTGAACAGTATCTGTGAGTACTTCAGCGAAGTGTTCTGCACACCAGCCTCCTTCCCTGCATGTAGCTTCATCCTAACCTCCCCGCTTAACTTCACCCATCAAGAAATCAGCGAGGCCCTTGAGCGCATGCCAAGACGCAAAGCCTTGCCAGCCTCACAAGCGCCGGCGGCACTGTGGAGAACATGCTCGGAACCGCTGGTTCGTGCTCTGCATGCTGACTTTTCGTGCCGATTTGTACCGGGCCCACTGCACATTCCAGAAGACTGGCACCGCGCCTTTGTCACACTCCTAGCAAAACCCACAAAACCTCCTACGAGCCCCACTAATCTAAGACCCATTTCCATCCTGCCAGCCACGGCCAAACTGATGGCCAGCATGGTGGCCAGTCGTCTGCGGCCGCTTCTTGAGGATGCCATGAGATCGCGGCCTCAATTTGCCTTTTTACAGAATCGGCAAACGGCCGATGCATTAGATCGCGTTCAGGCGCACTGCGCGATGGTGAGGCAACAGGTAGCCTCTGCCCGTCCGGATCCCTTTGCGCGGGGCAGGAGACAAGCATACAAACTCCGCGGAGGTATGATGTTATCTCTTGATATTAGTAAAGCCTTTGACTGTCCTCCTAGGGAGTACTTACATAAGGCCCTTATGCGCATAGGAACGCCACCCGACCTGATCCAGCTTGTGCTCTTCCTTCATCATCACATGTTGCTTGTGTTCGAGCGAGACAGCTACGTTCGGGAAATCCGGACAGGCACTGGCATACGCCAGGGATGCGGCCTGGCACCGCTGTTGTGGTGTGCATACACGCTCCTTGTATTTGATACCCTGGAAGCATATATCCCCAGACAGCAGCTCACCCTCTACGCAGATGACATGCACATCTACTGGACCATTTCCTCGGCCCTACAGTACCACAACGCGCGTCGACAGATAGGTAGAATCATAGCTGACCTTCAATCCTTAGGCATGCGCATATCTTTCGACAAAACAGCGATACTTGTACACCTGGGAGGCTCCGCCTGTGCCACAGCCACCAGACGATGCTATCGTCATCTCAGAACGGGCAAGCACATCATTGTGCCCACCCCTACGGGCTCATTGCTGTTGCCAGTTAAGCGCGAGCACCTGTACTTGGGGATGAAAATCGGGTACCACAACTCTGAGCGCTCATCAGTTTCCTATAGAATAGAACAATCCTGGCATTCGTTCAATAGGATCAGAAGAGTTCTCACTAGTGGGTCGCTGCCCCTTCCTGTACGACTGCGACTCTGGAAGGCCTGCGTTCGCACGGTACTTTTCTATGGACTTTCCACTTTGCTGCTGGATGAAGTGTGCGTCCATAAGCTCCGTTCACACTGCTTTCGTCAGCTACGCATCCTAGCTCGGTCCCCGGCGCATGTTACCCACGAGAGCAATGATCAACTCTTGTCTAGACTCCAGTGCACGGATGTGATTGACTCGTTGCAGCAGCTCACGAACAAACGTGTGGCCCTAGCTAGACAACACTTAAATCATGTCCAAACGGACTTGGTGCATCAAAGATGGGCGCAGCTCCTGGAGCAGAAGCACGAATCCCACACAAAGGCTGACCACCCCAGAAGCAGCCTGACCGCGGTAACCCAAGTACCTAGAAAACCAGCAACCTGCAAACACTGTGGGGCCACGTATAGCAGCCTACATGCCCTGCGCACCCACATCGGGAAGTCGCATCCTCAGGAGAGCCAAGCCAAAACCAAGAGTAGCTACCCGGATAAATCCCATCGAACCCCAGACCTCATGAAACATGCTGTAGATGGTCAGCCGCAGTGTGTACATTGTGGAAAGCGCTTTGCATCTTGGCGCTCTTTTGCAGGACATTTTGTCCAGACTGCATGTCCAGTTTACCATGACCCAGAAGCCTCTGCCACAGCCGATGTCAGACAACCTTCGGGCTTTGCTGAAGGGGTGTTCGCACCGGAAGCCGCAGAGGGCGATGTCTGTACTCCGCAACCCTCGGCCAATCAGCCGGCTCCACTTTTTGAGCAAACTGCTGTCAAGACAGCTGCAGAGCAGGGTCAAAGATCTGAAATTGCAGCGCTCATCCGCAATGACATAAACAAAGGATATTGTCCGATTTGTCGCTACAAGTGCACGACCAGCTCCTACATTAGCCGTCATGCATGCTTCCAGCACCCGGATATCAAATCTGCCGAATCGGTGGTGAGACAGTGGGCTCAGCACGTAGAAGGGCCTGGTCAACCGTGCCGCTGGTGCCTGCAACCCTACCAGCAGACTGCCAAGGCTCATCGTAAGGCATGTGCAGTCTTGTGGACGGTTGGTCATTTGTTGCACAAACATTCTACCCTTGTAGCGACAGGACAGCGTGCCATTGAGAACTATGGCACTCAGCGCGTCGGAGGAGGAACTCAAGAGAGCCTCGCAGGAGCTTCAGCAGTTCGGGGGGTACTTTCGGGAGGAGCTGGAGGCGTCGACGAGACCCCCGTCACCGGCCTCCACAGCTCAGGGGACGGAGCAGCCCCAGCACCCTCTCGAACAGGCAGTCCGAGAGCTCCGCGGCGACCCGATGGACACCAAGGATCAGGCCAAGCAGGCCGACCTTGCGGAACCATCCCAGGCTCCGGATCAGGAGGAAACTCCCTCCAAATACCAGAAGGCTGCAGGGAAGGGCAAGCAGCACAGTCGTCCGCACGTCGACAAGTCCCTGCAGGTGGACGCCCCGCAGCAGCAGCAGCAAGCCAGCTTCGCAGCGGGGAGGCCAGCGCTGGTGGGAGTACAGAAGCCCGAAGTCTCCCCAGGAGATGGAGGAAATCAGGCAGCTTCTCCGCGAGCTCGCGAGGCTCGTCTTGCGCCAAGCAGACGCCATCAGCTGTCTGCAGATGGACGTGGGATATATGATCTTCTTAAAGACAAGCATGCAGCCCCGACTCCCGGAGGAACCCACTGCCACCCTGGACTGGGCGGTGGTCCACAACCTGTACCAGGTTGCACAGAAGTGGCATCAGGACAAGGAGAAGAATCCGGAATCCGTCACCACGACTCTCCGCACAACCCTGGTCTACTGCCTCATCTCGACACTGCTGGAGCGCGTCGAGAGTGCCGAGAGCAAGCCGCAGGACATGGCCCGCCTTCAGGCCCTGGGCCTGGTCGAGGACAATCGCTTCCTCTACCTTCGCTGGAATGCCGAACGCCGCTGCCACGACAAGGCGACACGGGAGCACCTGCCCATGGAGCAGGCCAAGATTCACCTTCGCACCATCATGCAGCACCTGGTCTTCCCCAAGGTCATCATGCGGTTTCATGCGCTGAGGAAGCTGTCATCCACGATGACCGCGGACATTGTCCCGTTCACCCTCGAGATCCACAACAGATGCCAGGAGTCACAACAGGTATTCATGGCGTTCGAACGCCTCTGCCATTCCTCCATCTGGCACCTCTTGGGTGGGACCTTGAGGGCGAGCAAGCTCGGGCGGGGACCACTCGAGAAGAGCATCGAGGACCTGGCTCGCAAGATCTGATTCCTGCTGCCTCCGTCCTGCACTTGATGTTAGGCAATAGGGATAAATTTTTCTACGCCAACGCTGTTCTCAATGCCATGCTGTGGCAACACCAGGTCTCGAGCACCACAGTTTTGCCTGCACATCCGGGTGTACACCGCACACTGCAAAAGGTGTTAACAGGCGGGTCAGGGCTTTTTCACTTGTGGGATCATAGTGAATGGTATGAAGCACTCCATGCATGGCCGACAGGTGGACAACAGGATGCTGCTGAGTTCATCCACAAGGTGGGCCCACACATGTTCCATCCAGCCCTCGTGCGTGCCGAATGGGAGTCACGACTCCCATCACCGTTGCCTCATGTGCCCTCAGAGATCAGTGATGCAGGCAGTATGTTACCACTGCCTCTGACGGCGCGCCTTCCGCTGCCCAGCGAGGGATTGTGCACGCTGCAGTCTTTACTCAAACAGTGGAGTCAGCAGCAGCAGGGCAGTACTGTGCAATCCTTCGCCGCAACCTCAAGCCCGCCAGTTCTTGTGCTTCAGGTGGCTCGCTTTAATGAGGAGGGTACTAAACAAT